ATCATCCATTATTATAAGTGATAACTATCTCTGTTGGGGACGGTAGATCCCCAGAACTCACTTGGGAAAGGACCTAATTTTGTAATTTTATTTAGAAAATCTGAATTTCTTCGTTTTCGCTCCAAAGATGCTCTTACCACCTTCATGTCGTATTTCCCACTGGGAAATATCTAAAATGCTATTGGCCCGTTTCGTCTTTTAGTATGCTATTTGGTAATTCTTCACAAGGACGGTTTTGTACTGTATATATACGTTTTGAGTTGTGTTTGTTGTGATCGCTCGTTTCTGGCTGTTTGCAGAATATACTTCCCCATTCGAAGCTTGGACTTCTCCCCCTAGTTAGCGAGGCTGAGACGCATCAATAACTAGCATCAGTAACTAATTGGTTTTTGATCACCGAGTCTTTTTCTCGTTCGCAAGTTAAGTGAACTCGTGATAACTTCGAAACTAGCAATCTCATACACAATATAGTTGAACTACAGGGTATCAAATGATCTAGTTATAGTCACAACGTAATCTGTAAATTTCTGATTCAAAATCATCAATAGAAGTTTATCCAATTAGTTTTATATGATTATGATACCAATTAAAAAAATTCACTGATCTGTTTACTATGGATAGCAGTTCAGTCTTCCATCTTCAATGAACATACTCCTGTAACGTATCTCAATTTGTTGAATGGGAGTAGGGGAAAAAGTTAATAGTAAAGCTTGAGATGAAAAATCCTCAGCGTAATTTTGTTTTTTCATGTGTAAATATTTAATGAAAACATTTATTATATTATTTTCTAAGCAAAGATGAATACTGGGTAGTAGTGGAATCCAGAAATACTCGTTTCGTCTTGTTCAAGACTCATCAGTTAGGTGTGCATGCATCCTAGAGTTGAGTTCGAGTCCTAGGGTGAACACCAACTTTGAGATGCAGGTACTTCCAGCTGACGAGTCTCAACTAGGACGAAACGTGAGCCAAACTGGATTCCACTGCTAGCCACCATCCATCTTCGTATATAATACATGTGAATTAAGGCTATATCGAGACAATACGCATAGTATGCACATATACCAATAAGGGAGTGATCAATTGTAGGCCTTAACAACAATATGAAGATATAAGCAAAGAATATCAAGTGAATTTATTATTTTATGTGTTTCGCTATTTAAACTCTCCTTACTGTGGGAGAGGAAAAACCAACTTCCAAATGAAGAGGAAATTAGGGAATGACTCTGGATTTGGATAGAGCATACATTACAGAAATCATTAAACTGCATCACGAGGCAAGCGTTAACTTGGAATCCTGAAGGGAAGCGAAAAAGTGAAAGGCCAAAGAACACATTACTTTCGGAATTGGAAACAGACATGAAAAGAATGTATAGCAACTGAAAACGACTGGAAAGGATTTCCTAGTACAGGGCTAAATAGAGAATGCTGGTGGTTGGCCTATAATCCTCGAGGAGGGTTAACAGACATAAGTAAGTAAATAAGTAAGTAATTAAACTCTACTTTCTCATTATAATCTTTGTACTATTTTGAAACATTTAGCAAAAGGATATTAATATACACATATGATTGTATTCTTCTATCCTATTGAATCATTTTAATGAAGAGTTGAGAAACAAAAGAAGAAAACAATAACACAATATGTTTACATAAAAAAATATTTAAAAAAAAATAAATCGATCGTTTAATATTCACCCCGAGGGGGGGGAGAAGGGAAATTTTGTTATTTCTTAATGAGAATAAACAATTAAATAATGAGAAGTATGTAAAAGATGAATTACTCTATTAATTTTGAATAATGTGATTAAGGTAAATTGTATTACAGTATGGTATGAAACAGGAAACTCTGTTGACTACCTCCAACCACTATCTTATCTCAACATAGTGCACACAGTATCGAGTCACTTAGACTAGTGGCTACATTGCAACTTGGTCGATAGCATTCGATCTGGACTAAGAAGGACTTGACGCACATGAAATCGATCACCACCCAGTGATCGATCAATTGTGGACTATAATATGTATTATATATCATTCATAGTAAATATTTATTAGATTATTGTTGGTGATAAGGTAATGAATAAGAACACAGGCGGGGGCAACCTGTTGTGCTTATAATACAAAAATATGAGAACCATCGTAGGGGCTTTGGTTTGTTATTCAATCACCTTGATAACCGTGATTATATAAATTCCTAACGGTGTTTGAATTCAGAAGTTAATAAGATGCGGTGACTACAGTTTATTAGCAGATAGCACAGACCATAAAAATACAAACATATCGAGCGAGTTTGAAGCAGAACGGTGAATGTGTGTGTGTGCAAGCAAATACAGAGGTGAATTTATGATCAAATCGAATCAAGGCTCAGCTAGGTAAGACAAATGCTACTAATAGGATTCGCGTCCATATATGGGGAAGAGAATGATTCATCGAGCGATATTTAAACTATCATCATTTAGGCTTGAGAGATATACACGAAGGCTGTCACATATGATCAAGTGTACACAGTTTATACAAAAAGAAAAACGAATTGTTACTTTTCGAATAACATTGTTAGGTAAATTGACAAAAGCGCTTAACAAAAATGAACCATAATCGAAATTGATTGTAGGTGAGTTGTTATTACCATACACCGACAATTTCATTTGTAAATCTTCTATCATTCGTCTCTCATATTCTGTACGACTCTACTAGTTCACAATTCTTTTCTACTTTTCATTCTATTCCGTTTAAGTCGATCTTCTTAGCCTTCTGTTACTAGATTTTCCACTTCCAATTGGTGTTACAAACTGCTGATGTCGATAGATATATTTTATTTTATTTCAACACATAGATATTGGCATAAGGAGGCACCAAATACATATGGGCCACACAAATCTCATTCGATATGTGTGAGGGCTGTGATACTGCCCGGGTGCCCAGACCGAAGCAGGTGGTTTTCTTAAGGGGCCACACCCCGAGCCTTCGACCTGAGGGTCTGATCCACAAGGCAGTGGAGCATCGTAAGGAGATGCAGTCCCATGGAAGCCGGTGACTAATAATTGGTTCGTACGCCATTTGTTCCATCAGGATACTGGAGCCCATGTGCACCATTGGTTTGGAAGTAGCATACACCACAATAAAAGTAAGTTTCAATCAGTTTAAGACATTGTCTTATCTTCAATGATCTATTCCACCGAATGGTATGTATTTATAATGAATAAATTCATCAGACTTGTAATAGAATACTATGATCATATTCATTATGTAAACTGGTACAGTGAAGTAGTAATTCACCGACGATCATCTTAATAGTAATGAAGTGTTATGACACATCGAGGGAAATTTAAAATATGCAAATCATACAGTAAGTTCCTTTACACTTTAATGAACTGCAAAGAAATAATTCTTTTCTGGATTGTTTTAATTAGATATCTGAATATTAGTTTTACATTTGTTGGAATTAAGTCGGTTAGTTAGCTGAAACCTAAGACCAGGCACATATATGCATCAGTCCAAGTTGCCACACCTCATTAACACAACAACATGAATATCAAATTCATAGAAGCAGTCACTTCAATGATGGTAATATATAAAAGAAAGATTGCATATAAGGATATAATACAGAAAGAAAGAATTAGTTCGTAGAAAGAAAGATATAAAGTAATTTTAATCTCATAGTATAAGGGAAGACAGATAGTATATACACCTACGCCATTGTGATGGATTCTGACCCATGTCACACACAGTGTCCAACCATTGGTTGCGATAGTCACGCGGACCCCAACAAAGTAGTTTGAATCTACCAACATGGCTCAGACCAGTTAGTGACTTCAAGCATTGATAACGCCCCTAACTTCCTCAATCGATCTCTAACACTTGTCAGCATTGAGCATCGTGATAATCGGTGTTCAGGCATACACAACACGTGGCCCAACCATCTCAGTCGGTGAAGATTCACAACCACATCAATTGATTTACTATCGTTCCGTAATACCCTGCGTCTAACCTCACTATTACATACCTGGTGATCCCAGCAGATGCGAGCAATATTTCTAAGACATCTCTGATTAAATACTAGTAACTTACGATTATCTTCTACTCTTAAAGGCCACGTTTCCCAGCCGTAAATTGGAACAGAACAAACTGCTACTCAGTATACTCGTCCTTTAATTGATAAACGTATATCTTGCCTTCGACAGAAATGACGTAAGTTGGCAAAAACCAAATGAACTTATCATTACTTTTTCTTTTGAATCAAATCTATTCAGTAGTCGAACATTTGCAGTTGTTTTCATGTTGCCATAAACTTTAACCAATTCTTTTCTGGATTGGTTAACTCTTCTCTTTGAAAATCATTCATGCAAGCATAAATTTATTGTTGGATTGTTAACATTTTTGTCGATATATAACGATTCACCTATTCTGTTCTGGTTACAGGTGTATACGTAAACGAATAAAGTCGATTTTCATCAAACTAACAAATATATGGCAATGACTGGCCCTATGTTAAACCCATATAGGTTTCTGGACAAATCAATTTATCCATTCTTTTGAAGGTACATTTTGACCTTGTTAATTATTCGCTTATCAACCTTTTTATATGAGCGTAAGTTGTGTGTTCACTTCTTATCCTATTCATTATATGTCTGTAACTTATTTTTGTCTGACTACAAAATATCGGTTCACACTTGGTTAAATCGAGTTAGCCAACATGTTTTCTCTAGTCCATTTCTTTTTGCTCTCTCTTCTTCACTTCCTTCACTCCCTTCTCTCCATCTCTCTAATTGACTGTTTTGATCAACCATTGTACATAATATTGGTATTCGTTCCATTATTTACAAACACGAGTTAAGTTGATAATTGTATAAAAGAATAACCAACATGTATATTTCAATAACAATCATTCATAAAATCATCACACGATCGAACAGGAGTCAGATACACAAGGTCCACTAATATATAATATCTAATCATTTTATGTTATTAATTCAGTCTACATAAAATGGACTTTCTAGACTTACATAAAAAAATGCCCAAAAACTTTGATTGAATAGAATGGGAAATTACATTATTATTATTATTATTATTATTATTATTATTATTATTATTATTATTATTATTATTAGTAGTAGTAGTAGTAGTAGTAGTAGTAGTAGTAGTAGTAATAGTAGTAGTAGTAGTAGTAGTAGTAGTAGTAGTAGTAGTAGTAGTAGTAGCAGTAGTAGTAGTAGTAGTAGTAGTAGTAGTAGTAGTAGTAGTAGTAGTAGTAGTAGTAGTAGTAGTAGTAGTAGTAGTAGTAGTAATCGTATTTGTAGTAGTGTAATAAGTAAAAATGAGATTGCAAAATTGGAAAACAGTATGAATAATAAACTAACATGATTGAAAATGAATAGTTAGTTGTCTTGGTAACTAAAGGTGATAACCGGAAAAATTTGTATGTTTAATTGTTGCTTTGACTGATTGATTGATTCATTGATTGATTGATAAAGATTTTACGAAATGTGTTCAAAGGTAAAAATAAACAAACTAAAATCAAAAAAATATTTTTCTAGACTCTAAATATCAATTTGGTCAGTAATATAAAGTGGAAATTTCTGTTGATCATGATGGGAGATCTGTGAAAATTGTAGTTATTTTTAATTGTTGAATCCACAAGTTGATCTATTCTATCTAGATCATCATTGAAAACGTGAAAGTACTGGATAGTCATTTTGTATTAATATGGATTTTCTCAACAGTGTGCATCCATGATACTGAATGCAGGACTGGAACGCAGAACCTTTGGTTTCGTTCATGAACACTTAACCTCTAGATTACTGAACGGTCATCCAACGGCATTCATGTTTAATTTTAACCGATGATCTTGCACAACCCTTCATCCATTGTCTGTAGTGGGTAATTGTTCCCACTGGATAAGCATTGTACTCGACTCTTCACGGCTTCTCACTAGGACTCCAGGAAATCCATAATAGTGAGACTATATTTTACGAACGACCTTTTAAACGAATCTTCTGTGACATTGAGAAATATTGGCCAACGAGAAAACAGTTAGTATGGATTAAAAACATATTATACAGAACAAAAAATTCAAGGTGTATACACTTTTTTTACATGGTTCAAATACATTTCAAGGTTAGAAATATGTCCAGAGGTTCTAAAATCGTAATGTATACGGTAGAGAAACTCATTAACATGACTCCATGATTGACGACCTCCGGAGCCATGATAACATGGTAAAAACTCTTTCGGTCTCGACCACATAGCTTCAATATTGTTTTTGTGCACTCCGGTTGTTGGGTCCCTAAAATGCTGCTTATGAATAGCGACACCATGCATATAACCAAGACTATGTAGGCATCTGCATGCTCTTTTATCATCCGTATATATTGTCGTACCCGGCTGCACATATTCCCGTATAAGTGCTATTATCGTTCTAGCCTCTCGGTTTTTAACCCGTTGAAAGTGTCGCATATTCTAAGGACCTGTGAGGTATATTTATGGAAGTGCTACTTAGCCAGTCTTCTTTAACACTACATCCTCTGTTGAGTTTTCGTTCTCTGACTACTGTTTCGCCTATTTCAACGATTCTCTTGACTTCCTCAAACGAATCGTGTAAGCTCATCATTTTTATTGTACATATATCCCTACAATACTCATACCACTGAAGAGCTGAAGCTTCAGTAACATCTACTAATGTTGCGGCCAATGTTACAACAATTATCATAATTTGCCCTAGTCTCAATCTGGATCGAACGAAAAAAGCCCCTATTCTATCAGACTTCTTCCTCTCATATATATTACATCGAGAAGCAACATCATCACGGTAGTCTGCACAAGGTCCACAAGTCATTTGATTATCAAAATCACAAACAAAAGAAATTCTTAATAGCTTCATTTGTTGTAGCCCCTTAATAATAATTAGAAGTGGTTTGTGGAGATTTTAGAAATTTCACAGATTGAAATCATGAGTCAATTGAAGCTAGACTAACATGGGAAACCTGCAAGCACTAGACGGCCGTTCCGTCCTAGTATGGGACTCCTCAGCAGTGCGCACCCACGATCCTGCACCCCGCGAGATTCGAACCCAGTACCTACCAGTCCCGCGCCAGGCGCTTAACCAACTAGACCACTGAGCCGGCACCCAACGGTGTTAATGTGCCACCGTACATCATTGTCTTCAGTGAGTTGATATTATAATAATTACAAATTGATGGATACATGTAAAGTTAAATGTTATGTAATACAGTTAGGACGAAATAGTGATGAAATCAAATCTACACACACACATACCTACACCCACACAGACACACCGTTTTTTGTTCTGTTTTTGTTTTTCACCCAAACATTGTTAATCAGTTACGGTCAGTTAATTCATAAATGAAACATCAAATATTCATTTATCATTTATAGAATAAAGTAAAAGGCAAATATGAATTTAAATGAACGTTTTTCTTTCATTATTCAATATACTTCAGTGTTTTATTTTTCTTGCAAATACTCATAAAGAACAAATAGATAAATGAAATCAACATCATTTTTAAACAAACATTTGAATGAATCATTGAAATTTATACAATGAATTTAAACAAAGAATAATCGAGGATGAGCGTTTCGTCCTATTCGGAACTTGTTAGTTGGATATATCTGTATTTCAACGTTGATGTGTCGCTCCGATCCTGATCAATTGCGATCTTAAATAACAATGAGTAGATACAAGTAAAAACAACACTAAATAAATTTAAGCTTCACCTTATTACACAAGCAAGTGGCTATCAGGGCTTAGTAGCTAAGTGGATAATGCGACGGTGTTTGTAGCGAACGGTATTGGGTTTGAGTTCCATAGTGAACATCAAGAAGTTTGGGATGCAGGTACATCCAGCTGACGAGTCTCAAATAGGATGAAACGCTTATCCACTGCTATTCCACTACTATCCACTATCCATGTTTGTTTGAAAAGTTTGTAACTTCAGGCAATATCGAGGCAATCCGCACAAGATGCACATATATCATTAACCGACTGGTCAATTGCAATCCTAAACATCATTGGGAAGATTCAAGTAAACAATACCAAGTGAATCTGATCAATATAGTCATCTGTGACATTCTAATTATGGATTAAAAAAATAAAGATAAAAGCATGTTCATAGATATGAATGAGTTAAATAAATAAATTTTTACTGTTATATACACTTTCCAAACAAATTACATTTGTATAAAAAATTATTACTGTTGGTTACATCATCACATAATAAACTTTAGTATTTACATTGACGACTTATCGAATAACAACAAATGTTATTCTTATCTAGATCACTTACTTACTTACCTTACTAACTCACTTACTTACTTACGTCTGTTACTCCTTGTGGAGGAGCATACGCCGCCCACCAGCACTCTCTATCAAACCCTGTTGTTATGACTTTATGTTCGGCTAGTTATCACGTGATTTATCCACCAATCAAAATACGATTTATACAATCTTAGCACTGTGCCAAACCAATGACGTTCGACCGGTATGGGTAGCCTAGCTTCGTTATTGGTCCTATATTCGCTTAACCCGTCCACTTAAGTCCAGAACAACAAATACCAGCTTCCACTATGCGAATCGAATCGAATCATTTATTTTAGACATACTGGGTTTATATATCAAGCAAACAGACCGCAACGCACCATAAAATAAGAAATAACATTTGTACACGATGAAACCAAAACGTGGCTGTGAACGTGAGAGGCGGTAGTCAATAAATTGAACATAGCATAAGAACAGTAAATCGTACAATAATAAATAATTGGTCAAAATGAAGCTTATAATAAGAGGAATATAAATATACATAATCTAATTATTGGATAGTTATACCATAAGAATGTATATATAATATATATATAATCTTCGCTCGGATATAACATCTGTTCTGGACAATCCTTTCCAGATCTTATTGATCCTTTTGATATCTGCTTCTCTTTCCCAACGTAATATGTTCTTTGGAATTCCACTTTTCCGCTTCACTTCAGGATTCGAAGTGGGAGCTTATCTCGTGATGCAGTTTGATGATTTGCGTAATGTATGTGATATCCACTTCTACCATCTTTCGCTAATTTAGCCTTCACCTGAATGCTGGTTTGTTCTCTGTCATAGAATGTTGTTACTGATGGTATCCGGTCAATGGATGCTAATTATCTTGTGTAAACAACTATTTATAAATACTTGTACCTTCTTGATGATGGTAGTAGTAATTCTCGAAGTTTCATCTTCGTATTGAAGAACTATGTTGAAGTTCGTCTTGAAGATTGTGACTTTGATATTGGTTGACAGAGAGTTGTTTTGAGTTTCATATATTCTTCAATTGCTGGGATGCGGCCTTTACTTTGGCAATCGTTGATTTTACATCTGCATCTGATCATCCTTGTTCATCGACGATGCTTCACAAGTAGTACCGATTAAATTCTGAAATTGCAATACTGTCACTAGTCCAAATAATTTGATATCACTTAAACCATACTCTATAGTAGGTAGTTGGTACTAATCACTAAGATGTCCTATTCTGCCTAGTTTATTTACTAGTTAACACTTGCCAACCACGTACATTTGAAAGAACATATATTATCAACCAGTGGCATAGTGTTTATTGAATTATAAACTAACTGTTTCAGACTGGAACTGAGTAACAAGATTTTTAATCCCCTAGATAATATTGATATGTCTTGTCGTTTAATGCTACTTGTTATATCTGGTTATCGCTGATTGTTATGTCACAAATGCTTATCATTTATACTCGAAACGAGGGACCTCGGCAATTACAAAGACGCAAAAATTAAGAACACAATGACTGGTATAAGTGAAGATTTATTAACCTCAAAACAGGACGACGACGACCAGATATAACAACCAGCATTAAACGACAAGACATATCAGTGGCGAAAAGGATAGGATTCGAACAGACTCGGGGAAACCCCAATGGATTAGCAATAGAGAGTGTAAGCATTACTTGACAATAAATACTCATAAAGGGTTGTTCCGATATAACAGAATTCAATTTGGAGTAAATATAATTTTCCTTGAAATTATAGATATATCTTGTTGATAAGTTACTTACTTACTTACTTACGCCTGTTATTCCTAGTGGAGCATAGGACGCCGACCAACATTCTCCAACTAATAATGAAACGTAGTTATATCAATACCAGCTATCTTACATTGTAATCTTTATCAAGATAAACAAAAAAGCTTCCTCCATCATTTTCTTAAATATATTATAAACACATATATAAGTAGTATGTTTCTACATTGATATTAGTATAGTTTTTCAATGTTCAAAAGAGGATAATTCCATATAAAAATTCACATTTACACATACACAAACACACTGTAATTTACCATTTGGATAATGCAAAAGAAAAATATTAACTAAGATATCACAACATTTGTTTTGTCAGTATTTCTTATTTCATGCTGAGTGGAATAAATGTTAACCGGCATATCTGTGTAGTTCATGCAAATACTTCTTTCTTCTTCTTTTTCTTTTTTTTTTTCTTTTCATTATAGACATTTTATAAAAGAATGATAATGTCAACAAAATTTCAACAACAATAACAGCAGAAAAAAGAAAAGGATGTACTAACTGAACGCGTTTTTTTTTCATGGCAAGGTTGCTTTTTACAAGATGGGGTTGCTAACCTCATGCCCAACCCTACTTTCCACGAAGCGCAATATTGACTAGTGTTGGGGATGGTTGAAACAAAGTTAAGGGTAGCCGAACAAAAATGTAGTATCAGTGCTTGAATTCATTAAGTTCAGCTCTGAGCCATATTGGTAGATAAAGACTACTTTGTTGAGGGACGTGTGACATGGCTCACAATCAATCACAATGGCGTAGGTGTATACACTCTCATTCTTCCCTTAAACTATAAAACTAAAATTGCTTTATATTTTTCTTTCTACCAACTAATCCTTTCTTCCTGTACTATGTGCTTATATGAAATATTTCTCTTATATATTATGATCATTGAAGTAACTACTTCTATGAATCTGGTGTTCATCTTGTTGTGCCGATGGGATGTGGAAACTTGGACCGATGCATATATGTCCCTGGTCCTACGTTGCATATGACTGACTGACAACCCTCCTCTCTTACCCGGGATTGGAACCGGCAGTAGTCCTAGAACAGTTCTACATGAGATCATTAAAAAAAATACGGTTAATTAAATTACAATTTTTATTTCTAGTTAAGATATCTGTGTTTCAATCGTTGAAAATATACTCATGAAATAAGTAGAAAAAAATCGCTGAAAAATTCCCATTATATTAAAACACAATCATATGAACTCATTCAAGATGTTATTCATCTTGTCAATGTAGTCATTTTTTTGTTAACTCCTACTTATTATAATGAGATGAGAATTGTTCAGCGACTAGATTCTTGTGATCAACTCATTGTAATGAAGGCATTCAATGAGTTCCTGAAGTATAACACAAAAATCATAGAAATGAAAATATCATTAGAATTTATAAAGAATTGTATTGAATCATGTCATCGTCCAAAACTGTTTTATAAGTCATTACGATGTAATCAGGTTCATTAAAAGATTAAAACGTTTTCACCCCAAATACCCTGATATAACAGAGAGTGTGAGGAGGTAACTCTCCTTCTCAAAATGCTCTCACATGGCAACGTGCACACAACCACAAACAAGGAATTCCTACTCACTAACTTCTCGTGGCGGGACTGTTGGTTACAAAATTGAGAGAATGGAAAACGAATACTTGGGGCTTTAACTGGCTCGGTGGATATGAAGGATCCATCTAGAAGAGTTGGAAAACCCTCATTCTAAACCAATAGTGCACATGGGCTCCAGGATCCTGAGGGAAAAAATGGCGTATGAACCTATTGTTGGTCACCGGCTACCATATGACTGCATCTCTTAACGCTGCTGCACTGCCTTATGGATAAGTCTTTTATGTCGAAGGCTATGGGTGTGGCCCCTTAAGAAAACCACTTGTTTCTGTTTGGGTACCCGCGCAGTATCTCGGTTGTTACATAAAGCGAATGATTTATGTGGCGTAAAGTTGTTTGGTGCTTCATTGTACCAAGGTTTATGTATCTACATAAATCATAAATGCACATAATAAAATTGACACACCAAATAATGACTTGACAGAGATAAAAGAAATATTACTTACTAACTTACGTCTCTTACCCTAAATGGAACGTAGGCTGCCGACCAGCATTCTTCAACACACTCTCTCCTCAGCCTTCCTTTCTAGTTCTATTCAATTCTAGTTCATTCTTTTCATGTCTGTCTGTCTCCATTTCTCTACGTAATGTGTTCTTTGGTCATCTGCCTCTCCTTTGGCCTTCAGGATTCCCTGTGAGGGCTTGTCTTGTGACACAGTTCGGTGCTTTCCTCAATCTGCGTCCTATCCACTTCCACCACTTTTTCCTGATCCCTTTCTCCGCTGCAATCTGGTTTGTTCTCTCACATAGTAGGTTGTTGTTGATAGTGTCCGGCCAACGGATCTAAAGTATTTTGCGTAGACAACTGTTAATAAACACCTGTATCTTCTGGATGATGAATTTCGTAGTTCTAAAAGTTTCCATTCTATACAGTAGAACTGTCTTGACATTTCTATTGAAAATTCTGACCTTGGTTTTGGTTGACAGTTGCTTTGAGTTCCAGATATTCTTCTATTGTAAATATGCTGCTCTTGCTTTGCCGATCCGCGCTTTCACATCAGATCCACCGTGTTCATCAATTACGCTGCCCATATATGTAAAGGTTTTAACATCTTCCAAATCTTCTCCGTCAATTGTGATTGGATTGGTGCATGCAGTGTTCTATCGGAGAATCTCACTTTCCCCTTTGTGTATATTGAGACCTATTGCTGCTGAGGCTGCTGCTACACTGATCGTCTTCTTCTGCATTTGTTGTTGCGTGTGCGGTAGAAGAGCAAAATCATCTGCGAAGTCTAGATTGTCCAATTGCATACTAGATGTCCATTGTATCCCGTGTTTCCCTTCAGATGTTGACGTCTTCATGATCCAGTCGATCTTCAGGAGAAAAAGAAAGGGTGAGAGTGAGCAACATTGCCTGACACCGGTCTTTACCTCGAACGACTTTGTCAACTATCCTCCATGCACGATTTTGCAGTGTAATCCATCATATGAACTCTGTATGATATTGACTATCTTCTGAGGCACGCCGTAGTGCCGAAGAAGCTTCCATAGTGTTGTTCTGTCCACATTATCAAATGCCTTTTCGTGGTCAATGAAGTTGATGTAGAGTGATGAATTCCATTCAATTGATTATTTCACAATGATCCGTAGAGTTCCGATTTAGTCTGTACACGATCGACCCTTACGTAATCCAGAAGTAAATATTGCTTGCGAAAAATTATTAGTTGAAGATCTTAAGTTTCCATTTATGAAATACGTCACAAAGATAACTAAAGAAAGCTCAGACAAGAAAGGAACATATTCAACTTTTCAAAAGCTTAGAAAATCAACCGATTGAAAATAAATTTCCGACTGAACTAAAAAGGTATGTGCATAATTTTTCCGGTACTAAATTTAATAAAGAAAAACTTGAAGTAGGTCTAAAATTGTATGATACACATAAACCGCGTAAGTCACATAGGTAAGAACATCCAATTTCAAAAAACCGAAATTGTCAGACATCAGATCTAGTCCCAACTTCTGATCAGGAACTTGAACGTTTCAAATCAAACCTAGTTGACTACTGATGCTGCTGTTATCAGTTTAAGAATGGTGGATATATCTACAGAAGTATTTTAACTAGGAAAAAAACAAGGAGGCTATCAATGAACTCATTGATGACAAGAATCTGATGACCACATAACCTGATAAATGAACAGGAACTATCCTTCTTAACAAAAAAGACTATATTGACAAGATGAATAACATCTTAAATAAGTTCATATAATTTTTACTGATCGAGATCATGAACCGATTGATGTTAGACCACCATTAAAAACCTGTGAGCACTAGATGGCTGTTTCATCCTAGTGTGGGACTCCTTGACAGTGCGCGTCCACTAGATTCGAACCCAGGACCTATCAGTCTCGCGCGCAAACGCTTAACATCTAAACCATCAAGTTTGCCGACATCCAATGGTGTTAATGTCTAACTTCAAGTGATCCACGAAATGACTGTCCAGTGCTTTCAGGTTTTCAATGGTGGTCTAACATCAATCGGTTTATGATGTCAATCAATAACTTAATAATCTCCACAACCCTTTATTGATCATATAATTGTGTTTTAAATAAAGAAAATGTTTCATACACATAGTTCTCTTTATTATCTTAAAGAGAACAAGAACAAAGATTGATTCAGAATAATAAATGGATTCATTTTATTTCGTTAGGTTCTCATCAGCTGCTTACAACCTAGAATATTTGAAAGTCAGCGTTATTATAGATATTTACATACTTATACGTAAGAGGGTGATTAATGGGTGAATATATGTGTATGATGTAGCAAAGATTCCGATAGAGTTAATGAGGTCATAAAATTTTCGTTTCCAATAAACAAAGTGTTATAACACTCAGTTTTACTTCGTCTAATGTTATAACGGTTGGGTTTCCACGTTTACACGTATGGAACGTTAATTTACCTTAAACAAATATCTACACTAGATTCTCTCCCAGTGTCTACTCTACAGAACGTCAACACAACTCACATCAAGAACGGGTGATTAGCATGACTACAACGTAAATATATTTCCACACCATCAACAACCCGACACAAGCCAACAACAATGAACAATCAATGGTAAGTGAACAATAAATAATAATAAAGATAGAGGAATATATAACTCATCTGACATACCTGTCAGACTATCTACATGTCTGACTAAGTAGACAACCAATCATTATCATTCTTGTTCACACATCACAAAATTTGGGAGGTAAACTTCCAGAACATTGAAATAGTGATTAGAACTCATGGAATTAACAAACATTAGATGATTATGTAATGAAGTAACTGAAAATAGATTAATAGTAATAAAGAAAGATATAAATTGAAATCAATCAGTTATGAATGATGTAATTCTAAAAATTCAAAAAGAGTTAGAATGGTGAATGACGTAATAAATAAATAAAAAAGGCGGGGGGTTAATGTTACCACGGCAAAGAAAGATTTATTACTGTCTCTTTTTGTATACATAGATCTGGTTTTAAACGTTTGATTGCTATTGCTTCGGTAAATTCCAAAAGGTTTGAGTTTGATTATTTGTTAATCACCTTGAAGGACTTCAGTGTATCAACTTGATGTCCTGTGTCAAGGAAATGTCTTTGGATCTTAAACTTTTTGGAATATATTCTATGAATTGGACATAGACTCGCATTTTTCTTCTAACAAT